CCCCACACACTGGGAGCAGCCAGTATATACGACGCTGTCCCGGCCTTAAAGAAGGCCCTGTCACCACCACCCTCGCCCTGCCCCTTCCCCCAGCCCTCGCGCCCTGTTCCTCGCCCATCTCAGGCCCGGTGGCGGCTGTGGAGGCAGCTGCAGAGGCTGACAGCTGAGGGAAGGCCTTCTGTCTGGCCCACTGCCTTTGATGACCCCACCCCGTCCTATCCAGACTCCAGCCCAGGCACAGCCCTGGGCTACTCGGCTGGGCAGAGGAGAAGGAGGTTGCTTGTTGCCCCAGACTGAAAAACGAGGGGCTGCACCTTCCCCCCAGGAATGACCCTCGATCCCAGGATCTGAGCAGGCCCCGCTCACCCTCCTCTGGGAGGAGGGGAAGCATCCAGGGTCAGATGGGAATTGGAGGCCTTGCCACTCCTGTGCCCATGTTTCCTCTTTCGTGGGCAATAAGGGGACTGACATAACCCGTGCCACCTGCGCCATGTGCCTAAGAGCAAGGCCAGCCAGAGACCTGCGTCAGTGCCTGCAGCAGGCTCCGTCTGCCCCTCAGGGGCTGAGGACAGTTCTGAATAGCCTCGAGGGAGAGGGGGTGGGGGTGGGGAGCTCAAAGGGAGGTCTCCTCAACCCTTCAGTGCCCCCTCCCCTCCTGAACACAGGAATGGATTGGCACAGAGGCCCCCAGATCCAATTTCATGCCAGTAACCTCATTCTTTGTCTAATGGAGAAAGAGGACCCAGGTCCTACTCCACTACAAGCTCCCAGATCTTGAGGCACATCCCAGGAGATGAGCAGGCAGGGACCCCAGGATTCGGAGACAATTCACAGAGCCTTCCTCCCGGCTCCCCGCCAACTCCCTCTCCCCTCACCAGGCTCTGTGGCCCCTGCTCTGTCAGCCCCAACTCCTTGGGCTTCCCAGAGTTAAAGGCTGCTCAGGCCCAAACCCTCAGCTCCAGGGGGAGACCCAGGGCCCAGCACCCAGGTTGCTGGCAGCAGGCTGAAGACACTAAACTCCTGACATGTACATTCTGCCCTGGCCTTTTGCCCTTTGCCTCCCAATGGTATTTGAATAAAGTATGTAGCTCTGTTCTGCCCCTATTTTCCTGTTCTGCAGCCCCCCAATCCACATGTAACTCATTACTGCCCCCCTCTTATTTATCTCAGTAGCTCCCTCTCCCCCTTCCCCTCTGCTAGGTACTCTAGCCCCTATTAACTCTGCATTAAGCATTCTACATAATAAAATTAAAGGTTCCGGTTACCTGCTTGGTGGGCCTGACCTGGCCTGTCTCTTGGTCTCTTATCCCTGTACCTGTGCTTTTTCAAACACTTTCTGAAAGTAGCTAGGGGTAGAATGCAAAGAACAGACAATCCAAAGGTCTCCTCTCTCCCAGTGCAGCAGCTTAGGACAACTGGCATCACAGTGGGGTCAGTGTGTGCTCAGAACTGAGGCCTCAGATGGGAGCTCTGCCCCCAGCCCAGCTGTGCCCACACTGCAGGTGGGCCACTTGCTGACCCAGCTGGAACTCAGCGAGAGCGCCTTCCAAGCAGCCCTTTCTCGCCCAGCAGAGAGGGGGCCTTGCAAAGAATTCAAGGAGCAAGTATTTGAAAGGTAGATCAGGCCTCATGTCTTGCTGTCTGCAGTCAGCAGGCCTGGTCCTTTAGGATGGGTGGATGGGCCTTCTCTCACTGTACCCTCCACTTGCCACCTCCCCCAATAACACACACAGGCGCGCGCGCGCGCACGCACACACACACACACACACACACACAACTTGTCCAACACCAGGATCTAGCCGAGTCCTCGTAGCAGCTGCCTGTGTCTAAGTGTAAACCAGGATGGCAGACGTGCCATCTAATCCTTCAGGGTTTCCTCCCCAAAAGCTCTTTCCTCAACGGAATTCCAACCTGCACTCTGGCACCAGGAGCTCCTCCACCACAGGGACAGGGAAATCTCTTCCCCTCTTCCCCGTGCTCCATTGATAGACACCTCCAATGGCTGGAAGTCCTTCCTTACACTCAGCTCATAGTAACAGTAATAGCTACCATGTACTGGGTGCTCCCTGGCCAAGTGCTTTATATCCTTCAGGCCTATGAGGGAGTGGGTCCAATCGTTATCCCCATTTCCCAGATGGGGACCTGACACTTTGCGAGGTGGGTGCTGAGAAGTGCTGGTGCAGATTTTGAAGCCAGCTGACTCCAAAGCTTGCGCCCTTAACCATCTCTTCCACCTGCCCTACTTCCGCTTGTAATCTAAAGCGATGATGCTTTCACGGCTCCAGGCCAGCATCCCCAGATCTTGTATCTATTTCTTCTGTCTGTGGGCTCCAGCCCCTCACCTCCTAGTCAGGACCTTGGGCAGGGTAGGGGGCACCAAGAACTAGCCCAGTCCTCCCGAGTGGCCAGACTGCCATCTGGAAGCTATGTCACGCAAGCTCCTCAGGCCACTTCGCCAAAACCGCTGGCTCCCAGGAAGGGGAGTGGTAACTACAAACCCCTGCTCTTGTAGATAAAACCTGCGGCCAAGTCAGACCACCTGTATACAAGTGGTTTTCTAGTGTTTTGTTGATGTTGTTTGTGTTGTAGATAAATGCAGGATTTTATATTGATCTTTAACAGATTTCATCTTGTTGCATCTGACCATTTCCCCACCTATATTAAATCCTTCAGAATTCCGAACCCAACTTATAGTTTTCCTGAGCTTTATGTCTGAAACTTGAATATCCTCATTCAGGTCACTAATGAAAAAAGGCTGGAATGAAGGTGGACATGCCCTGTGTACATCACTAAAAACCTCTCCATCCATTCTGTTAACTATACTCTTAGGGAAAAGACTGTCCAGTCAATTCTGAATCTAATTTTATCACCTTGAAGTACACGCTTCTCCATCATAGCTGCACAGAAAGACTGCCTGATGCCTTGTTAAAATCAAGGTTCACTGTATCTGTGGCATTCTTCCAACCTACCAGACCAGTAACCATTGAAAACAGAAAATTTGGTTCACTTGGTGATATTCTTAGAAACCCTATGCCAGCTCCAGGATCCTTTTATTATCCAAGTGTTTTCAAATATGCAATAGCCTATTCTAGAATTTTGTTAGGGATCAATCAGTACCAACCTTATGTGCTCATAATTCTTACAACCCACCCTTTCCCTCTACTGACAAGCAGGACATTAGTCCATTTCTGGTCTGTTCAGTATTTCCAGTCTTCTCCTGTGCTCAGTGGGATTGCGGACACGGAGCTGGCAGGGCAGGTGGGAGGGGCTACATCAAGAAGATGAAATCACCACCTCCAGGACCTCGTGAGGCTCACTGGAAAGTCACTGGGGATACGGGAGAAGGGGAAATGGCCCAAAAGAACAAATAACCCAACAGAAGTCGGGAGACCTAGCTTGTGCTCATGCCTTAGACCTGAGCTTCTGGATGAGCTCAGGCCTCAGTAGTGGCTCCACATGTAAACAGAGAAGGGGCAGGTGTATCGGGAGAGGGCTGAGGAGACTATGCCGTGGCCTGGCCGGCTGAGCAGGAAGGGGCTGACTCCATGAAAGAGCAGCAGAATGGGAAGGGGGAAATGGGAGGAAAAACACCCCTTTCTCCAACTCCTCTACACCCTATCCCCTAAGGGTTAACCCCCTCCCTCTCCCAGCCGCTTCTCTCCTCCTCCACCCAAGCCCCATCTCCCTTTAATCACATCTGATACTGAGCGGCCCAGCAGGAACAAAGAGACCATTTAGAGAAACGGGGCCAAGAAAGTGACCCCCGCACTCTGGGGCGGCCGCCTGGATGCCAGCACAAAGGCGGCATTTCAGAGCTGAAATTTCAGCACCCAACTTGATTAAAGGATTCCACAGGCTTGGAGGAGGGTGGAAGGGGGTGCGAAGTCCACTGCTCCCCCAAATTAACCCTTCTCCAGAGCAGCAAACACCCCTCCCGCTCCTGGGGATGCTCATCACTCCCACCCTGTCCAGGGGGCACCCACACCCAGGGTCCCTGCCTCTTGCAGAGGTCAGGCAAGCTCCTCCTCTTCGTGGAAGGGGAGCTGGCAGCAGAAGGGAGGTCAAGGCTGGAATATTCAGGAAGCCCGTTTTCCCTTCTATCCCTGTTGGTGTCAGTATACACCCTCTCCCTGTCATCTGTTCCCCCCACCCGCCAACCCCGAGAAAGGGAGGAACCAGCATGATTGACTGGGTAAGCAGAGCGAAGAGAACAGGACCCATTAGAACCTAGGGCAGAGAAAGGGGAGCTCCAGTCCTGATTTAATGTCACGCCTTGAACCCAGAAGCCCTGCTCCCCTGCCCACCATCATCCCAGCACCCATCCTAGTGAAGGCCTCGGAGGAGCAGGGGCCCCACACAGAAGGGGAAGGACATCTTCCAGAAGCTGGGAAGGAGAGGGTATGGGTGTGGCAGACCAGAGAGGTGGGTCATGAAGGATGGTGTGTGGGGAGTGGCCTGATGAGCGGGGATCGGGGCGGGGGAGGGGAGGCAGGGGTGGGCAGGTGCTCGGCCCTTGGTCCAGCTGCTGACTTGCCCGGCAGGGCTCTCTCGGGGAGGGCAGGAGATCACTGCATCCCCAAGCTTCCTGCTGGGGCACTGGCTCCTGAAAGGGGATCCGAGCCCACGATAAGAGGCTCGAGGCAGGTCCTTAGGAAACAATGGGTGGCTTGATGAGACCTGCTCTGTGATACTCCTGAGAAGGGAGAAGCCCCTGCAGCCAGTCCCCACTGGAAAGGAAATTGGGGGTTTCCGTGGCAACCAGCTCCCTGGGCACAAAGGCTTGTCTGTCTGCTGGGAAGGCAGCTGAGGTGTCTCCTGCAGCAGCCTCTGCTCTGGTGGACTACGAGATGGAGGGAGGGACGTGGGGGAGCCGCAGGGGGTCAGGGCCCCTGGTGCTTCCTAAAGAGCTGACAGTCGCAGGGCCACTGGGACGGGCGCACCCTCCAGGCAGCAGGGCGGAAGAAGTGGTAGGCCTCCCGGGCAGCTGGAGGCGGAGGGGCTGAAGTGCTGAAGAATTTATTATTTGCACGTATAGAATATGAGAGTAGGCACTGGGGCCGAGGCAGGCAGGAAGACGCGCCGGCTCAGTCGGCGATGACGAGCTCGTCCACCCCCCAGTCTTCATAGCTCCCGTCAGGCAGGTAGCGGCGAACGATGATGGGAATCTTTCGGGCCCTGCGGCGGGGGAGAAGTCGAGGTTCGTGAGGGCTGGTGGCCCCCGCCCCGCAGCAGAGGGACAGAGTGTGCACAATGCAAGGCAAGAGGAGCCTCAGCAGCATCCTCTTGAGACCACGAATGCACTTTGCAGGAAAGGAATTACAACAAAAAAAGTTCCCGCACCTCTGAGTGGGGCACTTCAGTCTGGAAGGGCTCTGCCATCCCATGGCTGAAGGGAGGAGGGGGAAACGTAGAGGGATGTTGGTAAGGCCAACTGCAGTAGGAACAGGGAAATTCGGACAGACAGCAAAGGTCTCATCAATGTCCTCCCCGCCCCCTTTGCCTGCCCCCTCCTCCCCCTCCCTCCTCCTCCCTGCAGGGCTGACTCCCAAACAAACTAAGGGTCTACAGGAACAAGAACCACACTTCCCCATCAGGGAAGTGGGGGAAGGGTGTGCAGCAGAGAACCCAAGGGTTGCCTCCCAGGGCTCTGGAGCAGTGAACCATGATCTGGGCGACTTACTTGAGCTCTTTCATGGCGATGAGCAAGGGATCTGTCTCCCCCTCCAGCTCCACCATCACGGGGGCACACATCCTGTAGGTACATGGACAGGTGTTGGGGGAGACTACAAACACAGGGAGAAAGGCCCAGCATGAAGTCGGGGGGTAGCTTCACAAACAGGATCAGATCAGCATCCCAGTCCTCACCCAGAAAGGGCACCTTCCAGGTAGGCGGGCACAGCGGATGCGGAGCGGCAGTTCCGGGGAACTGACAGCGAGGGTACGCGAGCGGGAGCCTGTACACTAGACTTAAACTTTGCCTCCAAAGATACTGAATTTCTTCCCCAAATCTCACTATCCTCATTTGAAAATGAAGACAAAAAGGCCTGCCACACCTACACAACAATGATGCTAAAACACTACTGGAACAAGCAAAGAGTAAGTGCCATAGCTGCTCTCAGCCCTTCACAGAGTACTGTATCTGAGGTAAGTACGCTTGTTACTTCCATCTTACTGATGAAGAAACTGAGGCACAGACGGTCAGTAACTTGCCTAAGGACCCACAGCCAGTAAGTGGTAGAACCAAGATTTGAACCCCAAAGGCTCCTCCCTACTGTGCTACACCACCTCCCATTATTTTTAAAAGCTGGTGATTCACAAACTGAAGACCGGTATTGTGAACGGGACAAGTGTGAGCTTTCATCACTGGGCCGTGTGACATGCGTCATGTCAGCTCCCCTGCCAAGGGCCTCCCCCAGGGCCCATCACAGACTCCTGAGCCTGCAGCCACAGCAGAGGGCTCCAGCACAAAGGACCCGCACGTGCAAAAGCTCACCCTTCTGACCACTCTAACTCGACCCCCCCAGCCCTGCCTCGGGGCCCAGCTCGCCTCATTTTCCTTCTCTGACTTGGCAATACCCCCTACAAGGGTCCTGCTCCTCCAGCCTCTACACAGGGCCTGTGGTGGGGCGCTCACCTCCTTACCACCCTTCCATGACACCCCACAGCCATCAGGCAGGCAGAACCTCACCTGGCCCCTGCTTACCTTTCTAGTACCTTCTCATGCTACCTGCCTATATTTACCCCACATTCCAGCCATACCAAATTACTACAGTTCCCTAGACATACCCTGTTGTTTCCTTTTTTGCATCCTCGTACAAGCTCTTCCTCTCCCTACAGGCCTGCAAGAGGCTCAAATGTCTCCACTCTGGAAAGCACTTGCTGAAGCCTCAGTGCCCTGACTCATTTTACATACGCTTCTCTTGGCACCACTACCACTACACTGTGACTACTTGTTTGAAGTTTTCCAACGAGACCTGGTGGCCCAGGACCCCAAGCCCTAGCACAACACTTGGCCCACAGCAGAGGCTCTAGAAACAAACAGGCCAGTTCTAGGCCCACCTCCTCTAGGAAGCCACACTTATTGATTCCAGCTCAAGTTTACACTAATGGATCCCAAACCTAGTAATCATCAAAATTACTGGGAAAGTATGCTAAAAATACAGGTTCCCAGGTCCTTCCCCAGACCCTTCCCCCTCACTCTCTAGTGAAGGATCCTGAGAACCTGCATTAGCAAAGCTCCCCAGGTGCTTCTCATAACCAGCCAGTCTGAGAGCCACCAGTTCACACTAAATACTCCACTAATTTCATTGCTAAATATTCTGATGTCTGTTACTCCCCAAAGCCTGAAAATTTCCCAAGGGCAGAGACCAAGTTCTTTAACTTTCTCTATATCCTCTCTCAATAATTATTTGAACTTCCCCAAAATGTAAACCTTTAAAGAATGGGGCAAAATGCTTTCCCTGATCTGCATATGCCTTATTTCTTTCAAGATACGAATAACTCAACAGCATTCATTCATCCAGCCCTACTATGTGCACAGGAAGTGTGAGAGTGTGCCCGGAACGTCTCCACCTGTGGCAACCATTCAGCCACCAGGTGGGGCTAATGAACCAGAGAGAGGTTTCATCCACAAATATCCAAGAAACATCTGTTCAGCATCTACTAAGTGCAGAATTGCAGGCCTCGTACTCAGGATAAGCTCCAGCCCTGGCTGTCCAAGGGCTTACAGCAGCCGGGGAACCACCAGACAGCACCCTAGCCCTCAGTCGGAAAGAGCACTATAGACTAGACTAAGCTAGACCGAGGCTTGCTCCCCGAGGAAAGCAGGACCTGGGCCTTGGTAGTGTTTGAAATGCCTGCTCCATACTGTCCACCAAATGCAAGCCCATCTTCTGAACTTGTCACTCAATGAACCAGTGACATCTTTTCCAGTCTTGTGCCCCAAGCTACTTGCCATTCCCCCACTACAATCCATACATGCCTGCCTCTACCTGGTCCTTTCCTAGTGCTGTTTCTGGCGCCTGGGATACGTTCAAAACCACCTCACTTTAATTCTAATCTCTTCATGAGGCTTCCCCAGTCACCCCTGCCATTACTCCCTTCTCTCTTTTGTTTCTCTTGTAAAGCAGCAATCCCATCCGCCTTGGGTTCTGGGTATTTAGAACGGGTCCATCTCTCCCACCAGACTGTAAACACCTAGAGACCTGGGGAATTGTGATCATCCCTGCATCCCCAACAGGTGCAAGCACTATATCTTATTCGATGCTGACAGACTTTAACTTGCATACAGTCTGTTTGTTTGAAAAATAATTTATGAATTATTCTTTCTGCTTGATCATGTTTAGCAGACGTAAGCACTGCCCAATCAGTGCTCTGCAATGATGGAAATGTCCTCTATCTGCACTACCCATTACGGTAGCCATAGGGAGCTACTGGGCACATGAAGTGTGGCTAATGAGACTGAAACACTGAACTTCCATTTAGTTTTACTTAAATTTAAATGGCCAAATGTAGCCAGTGGCAACCATAACTGCGGTGCAGGCCTAGAGGATCCTGACCCCAGCGATACCAAAATCATCAAACTGAGTGCAGCTCTCATTTCACCCAGACGGGCAAGGAGCACAACCAGGCTGGCAGGAGGCCTACTGCTGCCAAGTGGGTGAGGAACGACGCTGCCCGCCCATAAAGCCCTCTATCGAGGTGAACGCGGTGGTCACCTTCACTCCACAAGACTGGAGGAGATGAAGCCCAATGCTGTTTAAAAACTTGGGCGGGGCGGGGACGGATGGATGCATAGATTGAGCATCACCACTCCGCCAGCACGCATCGTCCCACAACTCTGGCCCCAGCTTTTCTTTCAAGCCTAGTTTCGACTACTCCCTACTTGAAGCACCCCCTCCTCTAGGTACCCACCATTTCCCACAGCAGCTTATAAGAGGTCTGGGGTAGGACTCCTTTCCCCGGTATCACGTTTCCCCGCGGAGGATGTTCCACGAGAGCCACAGTAACATGCCCGTCCCCTCTCTGTCTTCCCACTTACTCTCACCACAACGGAGGAGGAACTCATCTGACAAGGGAGCCTGGCGGGGAAAGCACGCATCTGTGGTCCAGCCTCTTCAAGAGTCCCTGCTTCCTCAAAGCCGCCTGACCTGTCCTCCACGATGCCCACAAGCTTAGCAGGCAGGCTGACGCCTGCACACAGGGCCACTGGCAGCGGCAGTGCCCACGGCTGTTGGGGTGGACACGGAAGCGTCGCACGTTGCGATCCCCACCTGCCTACTGCTAGCTCCTGAATCCTGTTAGTCTTCAACTAGCTCCAAGCTTGGGAGACAAAGGAAAGGCTGCTAATTTCCAACCCCAACCCCCCCCACTGCTCTGTGCTTTCACGTTTCCAGCGGGACCTCTACATGGAGGGCTCCCCAACTCCTCTGGGCTGGCCCTTGTCTATCGACTCAAGAACCACCTTAAGCCCAGGGGGTGCTGCCGCAGCACCCCCAACTAACCAGCCCACAACGGTCGAGGGCTGATCTTATTTTATTTATTTATTTATCTCTGCTTCCCTAACCGACAGGCACTCGTTACACTCTGTACTCTTATCACTATTCTTCTACTGTGCTGTTATCTGACTTCACGGATGTTTATGTCCCGTTTCTCCACTGGATCACAAACTCTCTGAGGGCAGGGGGTCTAGCACCGTGCCTGGCACACAGGGACAGCACCACCCTTGTTCAGCGTGTGAGAAGAGGGAAGGTCTGTGGTCAGGTGCCAGGCTGAGCCGCATCAACAGCGTGCAGGCTCCCTGTAGCCTGTCTGATGGAAAAGATGGTGAGGAGGCTCATACTCACGCGATCTGAAGGGCTCGGGTGCCCAGCACACGGGCTCGCTCATACTTGGTCATATATGGTGTGGTGATTCGCTTCTGGTTGGCCTGCGGTCGCTCTCCAGAAGGGAGGATCTCAACATTCTCCTGGCCCTCCTGGACACCAAGGAAGAAAAGAGGGAAAAATCTCAGGATGCATTATTGGGGGTGAGGGGCAGGATGACGACGACAACGATTATAACCACCACTATGCTACTGCTTATTACGTGCCAGTGACCATGCAACTGCCTTATTAACACCTCATTTAATCCTCACAATAACCTTATGTGGTGGGGATTACAATGCCCATTTTAGAGGCTTGGAGGGTTAGCTAACTTGGCCAAAGTCTCAGACCTAGTAAAAAAGCACTCATGATCAGGGAGTCCAAAGCCAGCTGCCTCATCCAGAAGAGAAGTCCTTGAGCACAGACAACAAATCACCCTAAGAGGAAGAGGAACAAGCACCCCATCTTTACATATTCATATATTTAACAATCACTTGTTAAGCACCTGTCATGTGCCAGACGTCATCATAGGCGCTGAGACAGGAAGCTAAGAGCTTCTGCTCTCAAAGGATACACAGGCTGGCGAAAAAGACAAGAGTAAACAAAACAACAAGTGCTATAAAAGTATGCAAGTGTGATGTAAAAGAATGAAATTAGAACACTCCCTAACACCATACACAAAAATAAACTCAAAATGGATTTGAGACCTAAATGTAAGACCGGACACTATAAAACTCTTAGAGGAAAACATAGGAAGAACACTCTTTGACATAAATCACAGCAAGATCTTTTTTGATCCACCTCCTACAGTAATGGAAATAAAAACAAAAATAAACAAATGGGACCTAATGAAACTTAAAAGCTTTTGCACAGCAAAGGAAACCACAAACAAGATGAAAAGACAACCCTCAGAATGGGACAAAATATTTGCAAACCAATCAACGGACAAAGGATTAATCTCCAAAATATATAAACAGCTCATACAGCTCAATATTAAAGAAACAAACAACCCAATCCAAAAATGGGCAGAAGACCTAAATAGACATTTCTCCAAAGAAGACCTACAGATGGCCAAGAGGCACGTGAAAAGCTGCTCAACATCACTAATTATTAGAGAAATGCAAATCAAAACCACAATGAGGTATCACCTCACACCAGTTAGAATGGGAATCATCAGACAATCTACAAACGACAAATGCTCAAGAGGGTGTGAAGAAAAGGGAACCCTCTTGCACTGTTGGTGGGAATGTAAACTGATACAGCCACTATGGAGAACAGTATGGAGGTTCCTTAAAAAACTAAAAATAGAATTACCATATAATCCAGCGATCCCACTACTGGGCATATACCCAGAGAAAACCATAATTCAAAAGACACATGCACCCCAATGTTCACTGCAGCACTATTTACAATAGCCAGGTCATGGAAGCAACCTAAATGCCCATCAACAGACGAATGGATAAAGTTGTGGCACATATATACAATGGAACATTACTCAGCCATAACAAGGAACGAAATTGAGTCATTTGTTGAGACATGGATGGATCTAGAGACTGTCATACAGAGTGAAGTAAGTCAGAAAGAGAAAAACAAATATCGTATATTAATGCACGTATGTGGACCTAGAAAAATGGTACAGATGAACCGGTTTGCAGGGCAGAAGTTGAGACACAGATGTAGAGAACAAACATATGGACACCAAGGGGGGAAGGGGGCGGGGGGGTGGGGGTGGGGGTGTGATGAATTGGGCGATTGGGATTGACATGTATACACTGATGTGTATAAAATTGATGACCAATAAGAACCTGCTGTATAAAAATATAAATAAAATTCAAAAATTTAAAAAAAAAAGAAGTTCCTGTGGATGTAATCACACCTTATGTACTGTTTTCTATATAGCTTCTTCCACTCAATGTTATATTTGTAGATTTATCCATTCTGTTGTGTCTACCAGTACTTTGTTCATTTTCACAGCCATCTAGGATTTTATTGTTGGAATATACCACAATCCATATAATCGTTCAATTATAATAAGCATTTGGACTACTTTGCTATTATGCTATGCATTTTCTTGTACATGTCTTCTGGTCAACATAAGTATGCATCTGTGTTGGGTATACACCCAGGAGCCGGATCACTGGTCCCTAAAAAATATACATCTATACTCCCCTTTAGTACATAACTCCACAGAGTTTTCCAGAGCGCTGGTCCAATTTACACTTGGACCAGAATAATATAAATGTTGCTCCAATTGCTCCACATCTTTCTTCTCACTTGGTATTGTCACTGTAAGATGTTTGCTTTGTCTGGTTTAATTTTAGCCATCTCAGTGGGTGTGGAGTGCTGTCTTGTGGTTTTACTTTCCGGTTTCCTGTTGACTAATGATGTTAAGCTCTTTTTTATATATTTATTAGCTATTTGGATATTCTCTTTTGTGATGTAGCTGTTCAAATCCCTTGCCCCTTTTTGTATTGGATTTTCTGCATTTTTATGATTGATTTGTAAGAATTCATTGTATAGATGTACTTAGTTATATGTTTTGCAAATATCTTCTTTAACTCTTTGTCTTTCCTGTTCACTCATTTACTGGTTGTAATTTAATTCATCCAATGAGTGCCATTTCACTAATTTACAGAGTTGTAATTGTGTGTGTGAGCATGTGTATTTAAATAAATAAAATGGAATATCAAAGCACTTCAAAAAAAAAGTATGCAAGTGTGCCACAAACTTAACAAGAAAGTGAGAGACATCTGCCTCATACTGGGGGTTACGAATACAGTCCAGAGATGAGACTTGGGCTGGTCCAAAAGGATGAGTAGGAGCTGCCAAGCTAACAAGGAAGGAAAGGGCATTCCAGGCAGTCTGAAATGCATGCGCACAGGCACAGAGGAGGGAGAGAATGTACTAGGTCTGGACACCTAGTTTTGGGTATGATTAGAGCAAAAGGTGTGTACAGGGTTATAGGCAGAAGAATAAATTCTATAATAAAGAATTAAGTCAACAAATATTTACTGGGCGCTTACTATATGTCAGATAGTATTCCAAGCACTTGGGATAGTGTAGTAAGACAGATAAAAATTCTTTCTCCTATAGAACTTACATTATAATGAGATGAGACAAACAATAAACAAAATTAGTTAAGTACAATGTGTAGTATGAAAACAGAGAAAAGACAGGGAGTGCCAGGGTGGTGATGCTGGAGGAAGGGGTTAATGTGGCAATTTTAAACAGGATGGTCAGGAAGGCCCCACCGAGGTGACATTTAACAAAGACCTGATGAGGCTGAGGAGCAGGTCGCGTGCATATCTAAGGGAAAGGAAGAGGGAACAGCACAGTCAAAGGTTCTGAGCTGGGGTCTCCCTGGCATGACAGGGACAGCAAGAAGAGATAAGGTCCCAGAGGGAGCAGGTGGCCGGATCATGGAGGACCTTGTACATCTTTTTGGCATTTACTCTGAATGAGCTAAGAAGCCACTGGATGCAGATTCGGAACAGAGGAGAGACAAAGTGACTTACGATTTAAAAGGATCACTCTGGATACTTTGCTGAGAATATTCTGTAGGTAGAAAGCGCAGAAGCAGAGAGACCTTTTAGGAAGACCAACAGTAATCAATCACGTGGGCAGGTGAAAAAGACGACTCTGGCGGCAGAAAGGCAAACAGCAGACTGAGGGCAGGAAAACCGGCAACACATTTCTGCAGTAATGTGGGTGAAAAGCAATAAAGATCCAAACCAGGCTGAGACACGAAGAATGGAGAAACGAAAACAGGACCGAACCACATAGAGGAGGCAGAATCAATAGGACAGAGATGGAAAGGGATCAGAAGGATAGAGAAGGTTTCTGACTGTCTCTGACTCAGAGAACATATAACCTCAGAGTGCCAGGCAGACAGGAAATCCCAAGAGGGCCTTCAGCTTCCCAGCCTTAAAAAAAAAAAAAAATCGAGGGATCACTCTCTCTCCAAGAGACATAAAGCACTTCTCCTTCCATCAGTCACAAGGGACAGAAAGCCCTATTTTATCTATGACGCTAGTAACTCATTTACCTAGTTGCTCAAGCTAGAAACATGGGAGTCATCCCTGTCATCTCCCACTTTCTCAGCCCCATATCCAAACCACCAAAATATCTCTTTCATCCGTTTTCCCATCACCGACACCACCAGCACCCAAGTGCAAGCTACAGGTCTGACCTGGAAGTCTATGAGGGCTCCCTAATTGGGCTCTCTTTTACCCTTGCTCCTCCCCAATTCACTCCTCACTGGATCATGCCGCTCCCCAGCTCAAATCTTGTCAGTGGCTTCCCGATACCTTCACGCTACAAAATCCTGCCTGATCTTGGCTCTTACCTCTCCAGCCTTACCCCAGGTCAGTCTCCCCCTTGCTCTTCATGTAGCCCCACCTTGCAGAGCTCCTGGTACGTAATAAACATTCAACACATGTTTGCTCAATGAATGAAGGGAATATTTCAACTGTCAGTAAGCTAACTGCCCCAGAAGCCATGCGCTGTGCTCCAAGTGGACAAAAGCCTTCAGGCCCACCCTGAGGGGCTCCCGGACTAGGACCCAGGACTAGATCTCTCCTCACCCTAACTGGCGGTGCCCTGACCACAAACGGGAGGCAGATGCAGTCAGTCAGTCATCGCTGGCCGGGCTATGCAGCAGCCTGGGCTGCAGAGAGGGGAGCCCAAGGCTAAATACTGACCTCCTCGGCATTCTCCAAGTCATCTAGCCCTTCATCCTCCTCCACGTCATCGAAGTCGTCGCCATCAAAACTGTACAAGAAGAAGAAGCCAGTCAGAGCACCACTTAGTAGAATCAAAGAGGGCAGAGATCTGTGTCTCATCTGAGTTACTAGCATAGGAGGCACTCAATAAATAGCTACTTAATGAGTGCATCACTTAATAAATCATTAAGTCATTTGAAGTTCCTCGTCTAAAAAAACAAACAGAGCTTACTTTTCTACTCCCTCCTCACAGAGCCCTATTTCCATGCTCCCCTTGGGAGCAAAATTCTTGCAAGAGTTGTCCATCTTCACTGTTTCCGATTCTTCTCTCCCCATTCTGTCATCATCTCACTCCAAAGACTTTCACCTCCATGGTTCCACCCAAACCATCCTCTCAAGTTTGTTAATGTTTTCCACATTGCTAAACGTGATGGACTATTCTCGTTCTCATTTAGCCTGATGTGTCAGTTGGCCCACAGGACCGCTCATCTCACTCAAGACACTCCCCTCGCTTGACTGCAAGGACACCTCACACTCTTGGTGTCCTCCCACCTCACTGGCTACTCCTTCTCAGTCTCCTTTGCCCGTTTCTCCTCTCTTCCCCCGAAGCACTCCGTGTTGGGATGCTCTGACACGCAGTCATCTCCTCTTCTCTACTGACACCCGCCTGATGATCTCCTCTGTTTCTCAGCTTTGACTGATATACTTATGCTGAGAGCTCCCCTGTTTTTATCTTCAGGATAGACCTCTCCTCCGACACCACGCGTCAGGTAATCTCCTGGGCTCTAGCTTCAAAATAAATCCAGACTTCAAAACCACTTCTCACTACTTCTACTACTATCACCCTAGTGCAAGTCACTACCTTTTCTCACCTGGATTACTGCAAGCCTCCCAGACCTTTACCACCTCAAAGTCTCCCCAGACCCTCCTCGCGATTACTTCTGTACTACAGACCTACTACGCAATTCACACGACCCGGCATTATGTCTATGGGCCTGCCCCCTCTTCTAGAAAGGGACCCCACCTGGAGAGCAGAGACTATACCTAATACACCTATTAGGTATTGACACAGAGCCCGACTCAGCGGAAGTTTGCTGAAAGATACCTTTTTCAGTGATCCTCTCTGGACCCTCGAGCCGGGGTCTTTCTGTGCCCAGCCTCTGGCCGGGTCTATGCTGCCGGCTCACCGCCCTACCCTTCTCCAGCTCCGCGGGCCCCCTCAGCACCCCCAGTGCCCTCAGACACTGCCCCGCGACGCCAGGCTCCTCAACTTCCTTCGACCCAGGCTCCCGCTTCACCCGCCCCTTGCGAGGCTCCGCAAAAGTCACTTCGCTCCCGCACTCACTTGTCCTCGTTGTCTGACATGACACCCGCGCCACAGCTACCGGGCTCTGCGCCCCAGACCCGAGCGGAGGCCGCAAAGAGCACGTCTCCGCCTCGCTCAACGCCAAACGTACTCTGCGCCTGCGCCGTGACCTAGAGGTAATCACTTCCGGGAGGCAGGCGCGGCGATAAATGTACGCATGCGCCGCTCGGCGCGTGCGCGTTACCATGGTAGCCAGACAGACAAGCTGCGGGGTCTAGTCGCTGAGATCTCAAAAGTATTTCTACGGCGCCCCGGCGCGGGTTCTGCTTCAGAGCCCTGGTTACGATCTGCTGAGCGCAGCCTCCGCTCTCTGTGGGGAGGGACCACCCAGCCGGGGTCTTACTTTAGGGTGAGGTTTCCGTTTGGGCGTGTCACCCAGCAGGCACGGTTACCCTAACGCCCCTTTCCTCCCGAGGGGACTTCTCTGACACAGGCGCCGGGTCAGGTTGAGGTCTCTGTTCGCGTGTGGATCTGCCAGTGGATCTGTTCTGGGTGGGAGGATTGGGCACTGTCGCGATGTTCACAGACGGCATCACGATTCTCTTGCGATCCGATCCCTGCTCCCAAACTATGGGTGGTGTTGGGGGTGTGGGAGCAGAGGTTGGATCTGGGAGACAGGGGGGGTGTCGTTGCGTTTTTCCCTCCTCAGAGCCCTCCATGGCTTCCCAGGAGAGGGTGGAGACAGTGACCAAAGGAACAGGGCTCTGGCGCTGCCCCAAGCCGGCCACTTACACCCCAGAGACCTGCGAGCTGCTCAGAGGTCAGTGCGTTAAAGGACACAAGAAGAGCGGTGGTCACAGTTACTCTCTGTAACTCAGTTCTCCCCCGCATGACTTATGGTTTAGCAATTGCTGTTTCCATTTTACATATAAGAAGCCTGGAGTTCAGAAAGATTAAGGGGTCCTACAACTTGGAAGTGGCCAAAAGTCAAAGAACTAAGAATTTTAGAGTAGTTAACTCCCCTGCGTCCCTTAGATCACACTTTCAATTTCCCCAGGGAAGCTTTATTTCCTCCCCACCCGCCACCACAGTGCAACCAACCGTTAGGCGCCAGCACTCTACCAATACCTTTTCCTTTGTGGGCTTAGTAGTCAGTCAGATACTCAGTAGTCAATTTCCTTCATTGGCAACCTGTAGTCAGATACCTAGTGTGTCCCGTTGAATTAACACATCCATCTGCCCCTCTAGCTCATGAACCCCATCAGGACAGGATGCCTGTTTTGGCTACATTTGTAGCTACAATTGTAGCTCCAGCCCCTGGCACATGCTTAATGAATTCTTGTTCATTCATTCCTTCATTCACTCAACAACAACAAAAATTTAAGCCCACCATGTGCTTTAGACATCGTTCTAGGTGCTGAAAATACAGCAATAAAAAAAAAAAAAGAAAAGAAAAACAAAAAAATTCTTGGTCCCATGGAGCTAATATTCTAGTAGGAAGGTGACAAATAATGAGGTACATAGAACTTAGGTAGTGATGAGTGCTATAGAAAAAAAACAAAGCAGGAAAGGAAGGGAATTCCCTGGCGGTCCAGTGGTTAGGACCCGTCGCTTTCACTGCCAGGGGCCTGGCTTCAATCCCTGTTCCGGGAAACTAAGATCCCACAAGCCGCAGTGCGGGGGCGGCCAAGTACTCAGGTGCTGAATGGGGGCAGGAGGTGATACAATGTTAAATTTCAGTGGGGTGAGATAAAGGCATCTGCTTGTAGCTCAGGAGGCCTCACTGAAGTGCTTTGTCCTGCAGTGATGATGAAGGAATCCAAACTGACAAACTTCCAACGGCGCCACATCATGGACACCATGAAACGTAAGAGGCCACCTGCAGAAGCTTCCAGGGCAGAGGGATCCTGCGCCACATTTTTCATGCTTCTCCATATTAAGGAGTAGGGGACCTCATTTTAAAAGAGAAAAAAAAATTGAATAGTATTTCTGACTCTTGCTCCTGGGGAACTGACTTTGCAGGGTCTTTGCTTCTTCCCCCAACGTGGGTCACAGCACATGAGCCCCTCCTGCAGTCTGGCTCCAGCCAACCTTCCCAACAGATCACAGCCCCTTCGAGACTTCCTGCCCAGCCAAATACCCTGAACGCTGTCAAGTCTACAAACTAATCCCGCCCTCTTACACACATACCATATGAGCTCGCCAGAGGAGAGGACTGTGTGTGTCTCATTCATAGATTTTTTCATTCATAGCTTAGCTGGCAGGAACAAGATTACTGGCAGGCTTCCAACTTAGGAAAAGTATGCAAAACCTTTCCACAGCTCACCTCTAACCACACATTGTATTATTTATTTTTAAGGAAAACAAAAAAGTGAATGTACCTGGGCACAATAACAAGGTGCTCTCTAAGATCTTAAAAACAACCTTGCTTTCTGAGATTTAACTGAATCAACACGTAGTGGGTCAGAACAGAGATCTGTAGAGCTACCTTTAAGAGGATGCCAGAAGGTCCAAACCTGCCAAATTTCACTTGAATCTACCAATAGCTATTGCCGTCTCTCCAGAAAGAAGGTACCTATCAGGAGGCATCTGGTCAACCACAGAGGCATAGGGGTGGGAAAGTCAGAGAGACAAATATCGACAGTGCCTGCCCAGCACTGGCAGAGGGAGGGAGGCTCCGTCACACCAGTTCAGAAGTCAGATCTCCTTCCTCATTGTAGACAAGGACAACTCAGGCCGCCATTGCCTAGCACCACAACACGGCTGAGTCACATAACTCAATCTCCATACTCAGCAACCTACTAATCATTTAGGGTCCCCTATAACATGACTACAAAGAATATGCTAGAAATTCCACTAAAAGTAAATACCAGGAGACCAAGGACTGGGTCTGCCTTGTTCACCATGGTACCTTGGCTCCTAGGTGCTCAACATTAGTTGAAGGACTAATTGCATTAGTGGTTAGGGCAACACAAGTCACCAGTTTGCCTGGAAGTTTTGTTCTCCTTAAATGCTTTTCCTTTAAAATATTGCCTCCAAGCATTGGTGTTGAGTCTGGTTTCTTCTCCTAGAATCATCTCTCTATTCCTCTCTTCTTTTTTTTTTTTTTAATTTATCTTATTTATTTTTGTCTGCGTTGGGTCTGCTGCGCGCGGGCTTTCTCTAGTCGCAGCGAGCGGGGGCAACTCTTCCTTGTGGTGCGCGGGCTTCTCATTGCGGTGGCTTCTCTTGTTGCAGAGCATGGGCTCTAGGTGCGCAGGCTTCAGTAGTTGTGGCTCGCGGGCTCTAGAGCGCAGGCTCAGTAGTTGTGGTGCACGGGCTTAGTTGCTCTGCGGCATGTGGGATCTTCCCGGACCAGGGTTCGAACCGGTGTCCCCTGCATTGGCAGGAGGATTCTTAACCATTGTGCCACCAGGGAAGCCCTATTCCTCTCTTCTTAACCAAGTCCTACTTGTTGGTTTGAGGCTTAGTTCAAATTCTGTTGCAAGCCACAAATTCCTCTCCTTCACCTGAACTCCCAGAATTACTTGGGCCATAATTATTTACTGAGACTGAGCCAAAGGAAGAGGTAGCATTTGGTACTGGACAGGTAGAAATAGCAGAGAGAGTAGGAGGAACATTCTAGAAAGCACAGCATCTCTTCAGAGAAGAGAGATAAACCATGGTGTGGCCCTAGGTAGAGGGCGTGAGAAGGGAAGGGTAGTGGGGAATAATGGCAGCTCTATACTTCCGGTTCCTCAGGGCAGATACCTCAGAGACATCCTGCCTCCTCTTTCTCTTTCTCCCAGACCCCACATCCAACCCATCAGCAGTTCTGTCTGCTTGACCTTCAAACCATATCTTGACTGTGACTACCTGTACCCTCGACCCCCAACGGTGTTTTTTTTTTTTTTTTTTGGCCGTGCCGCGCAGCTTGTGAGATCTTAGTTCCTGGACCAGGGATTGAACCCATGCCCCCTGCAGTGGAAGTGCAGAGTCCTAACCGCTGGGAAGCCAGGGAAGTCCCAACGCTGTATTTTCAAGGGCAGCTAAAGGGCTCATGTCATTCCTCTGCTCAGAACCCTCCAATGGCTTCCCACCACGCACACAGTAAAAGCCAGTCTTTCCAGAGGCCTTCGAAGCCCGGTATGTCTCTTGCCCTCCGTGACCTCTGACCTCTATTCCCACTACACCCCACCCTTTGCTCAGTCCACTCCTGGCACCCTAACCTCCTGGCTGTTCCTCAGACACTCCAGGCACATTCCCACCTCAGGTCCTTTACTCTTGCCGTTCCCTCTGCCTGGAATGCTCTTCCCTGAAATACCTGCAGGGCTGGCCTCTTACCACTTTGGGGTCTTTTCTCAAATGTCTCTGTCTCCGTGCGGCCTTCCCTGGCTACCCTATTTATAACTGTAAATCCTGCTCCGACACACCCTGTGCTCCATGGCTGTACTGTCACTAACGTACGGTTTATTTTACTTGTTTTATCATCATCTACCCCGCAGACGTAAGTGCCATGAGGGCAGGGCTTCATCTTACTTACACTTGACCCCCAGTGCCTTGGGCCTGGCACAGGGTACACGCTCAATACGTATTTGCCAGATGGATGATAGAAGAAGGCTGGAAATGTAAGGGAGGTAGGCAGGGGCCAGATCAAAACAGTGGCTGGGGACTGTGCTGAGCTGGGCTTTAAGGCAATTGAGAGGAGGGGCCAGTCAACCAGGTAGGAGGTGACACATTTGGCTGGCCTGGGGGAGGAGCCCCAGGTCTGGGTGGGTCAAGGCCATTAACCGGTTTGAACCGGTTTGAAGAACGTGAGCCCCTGATGGGCCAGTTATGCTGGGGAGGGGAGTGTGTGTGGAGGGGGGAATCCCTGGGGGCAATGGACAGGAGGGATTGGTGTCTAGCACCATCCAAACCATCCCTCCCTGCCCATGGACCAAGCAGGTTTTAGGAATCCGTCTATAGAAACAAAAGCACCAGGACGAAGGCTTGATGTACAAGAATGTTTATTACATCATTGTTTGAAATAGTTTAAAAAAAAAAACAAACTGGAACTTGCCTGCATTTCTGAAACTAGGAGACTCATTGAATAAATAATGTTTCCACTCTAAGGACTAGTATACAGCTATAAAACATAAGTTATATATAAATGGAGTGATCTGGAAAGACGTCCATGACAGACTGTTAAGAGTCTATTACTGAATAGAATACAGTATGATCCAGTGTTTGAAACATGAATCTTACATATGCACACGTATCTTTGAACATGTTTATGTAAGCAACAAAAAGAATGGGCCGAGACCACCAACTTGTTACCATGGCTTCTCGTAGAGGGGGGCTCAGAGGGGAGAAGGGAAGACCCTTCTGTACTGTTTGACTTGTTATAACAGGTAGGGACCACTTTTATAAACTAAAAAAAAAAAAAGCCAGGAGGGCCCCCCCCACCCTGACCCTTCCTTCCGCAGGAGGAGACACTCTCCCCCTACAGTGTAGTCCAACTTCCAGCCAGAGGGTGTTGCCTTGCAAGCAGCCGGCCTCAGCCATCTACTTGCCTCCCATCCTGGCCGTCCGGTCCCACCTCCGGCCTGCCAGCATGTGCCAAGCCAACGGGGCCTACAGCCGGGAGCAGTTCAAGCCCCAAGCCACCCGTAAGTGAGGGGCCTCCACTAGAGCCCCTCTCCTACCGCCCTCCGAGGGGGTAGGGGGCAGGGAGACTTGCAGCCCGCAGAGCACTGAGCGGGCAGCTAATCAAATTCTCACGTTATTTATACCGATGCTCTTGAACCTCAGCACGTGTTAGCTTGGGGGCATTCAGGGTGCACGGGAAACCAGTTAGGTGTTCGTTTTCATACATTTTTCCAGAACTCTCTTTAACCATTAACTGGTTTCCGCCCATCTCTGATGAATGTTCGGCGGTCAGGCATCACGGCCACTGCTCTCTCAAGCTCACACGGTGCCTGGAACCCAGGGCTCCTCTGCGCTGCAGCCTATTTCAGGGAGTCGTTCCCCCCACCCGTTTCTACTTGGCACCTGACATGGCTCTTGGGCTAGCCCCTCCGACAGCTCCCAGGCAGCCTCCCCATCCCAGCTGCACTGCGGCAGTCACTGAGTTTTCTTAGCCTTGCTCTGCACCCGGGCAACGTGTGGGTTTTGACGAAGCTCTCTGGTGGGTCCTTTCAACCCCTTCCTGCCTACCTATCATGACTGACCAGCTCAGGGGCACCTAGGGTAGAAGGTGCTGGGTTTGCAGAAGCCCTACCCATGTTACCCTGGAGCGAGCGTGCCCAACTGGGAACACGGACCATGAATGCGGGTGCTCTTCACGCCTTAACTAGGCCATGTCCGGGCCCAACAGGAGATCTGGAGAAGGAGAAGCGAAGACTCCAAAATATTTTTGCCACCGGGAAGGAGCCAGCGGAACGGAAAAGAAAGCCCCCTCCTGTGCGACAGGAGAACCCAGCCCCTGAGCTGGACCGGTTTGAAGAACGTGAGCCCCTGATGGGCCAGTTACGCTGGGGAGGGGAGTGTGTGTGGAGGGGGGAATCCCTGAGGGGCAACCGCAGAACTGCTTCCTGTTCCCAAGAAAAGCAACCTGCCGTCCCTGCCATCCCTCCTGGGAGCCTGAGGGCCCCCGTTGCCCTGTACACTGACGGCCCTTTCCCTTTCCAGTGGTAAAGGAAATCCAGGAGAGGAAAGAATTCCTGGCTGACATGGAGGCCCTAGGGCAGGGCAGACAGTACCAAGGGATCATCCTTACTGAAATCTCCCAGGTAGGAGAAGCAACAGGGAAATGGAGCCGGCGGGGAGGGGGCGATGCACCCCTGTGAGTGTGGAGGACGAGATGTGAGCAGGAATAAAGGGTCAGCTGCGGCCATTTCGGGAGTCCGGCTCTAGCCTCCCCATCTGCGGTGGCTCCTGGAGTTCCTTCCCTGATCCCCAGCTTTCCCTGATGCCCTCTGCAGAAACTACAGGAAATGGAAGACCTTGACCACAAGAGGAGTGAGGAACTTAGGAAGGCTCTTGCCACCACTTAATCTGCCTCCGGAGGGGGGCGGGGGAGCCCAACCTCTACCATTGGAGCCCACCCCCTTGCCAAACAGGGTCACCCCCAGGTCAGCCCACCCACCCCGGCCTTCAGCCATGTAAATGGTTGTATAGCACTGCCCCCACCTAGGGCACCCTGGACATAGCACCCTAGAAAATGGACCACGTCTCAGAAAATGAGCTGATTCTCCTTGAGACTCTGCCCAGGGATCCTCGGTCAGCTGAGCCTCTGAGACCAGTCACAGATACAGACACATACACACACACAGAGTCTATTCTTGGGGAAAGAGCCACACACACAGTGAAAGCAAGGATCCAGGTCTCACCATCTTGGGTCTATGTCTAAGGGCATCCACTGGGCTCCCTCCCCACGGCCTCACCCACTGCGTGTCCCTGTGTCCGGCACATTAGTTTCTCTGAACTTAGTAATGAACATGATTCCTTTCTTCCTACCTGTCTTAGGACCTACTTATTTGACTCCTTACAGCTTTGGGCAAATATTTCCACCACTATGATTAACAGGTTAATAAAACACATTTAACGTAGGTCATTACGCGCACCACTTTGTTTTCAGAGGGATAAACCTTATTTGTGAGGGATAAACCTTGTTTGTTCAAGGGGTTAGAATTTTTCAAGCCCAGTTGGTTTCTAGCTGTCCTGCACATTTCAAGTGAAAATGGGGCGAAGGCTCCTGGAGCAGCCCACGGCCGGGCATTACGGCAGGTGCCGGTACCACTCTCGGCTGATTCTCGGTAAACGCCTGTGGTGGTTCGTTATCCCCGTGTGGAAACCAGGGCTCACCAAGATGCTATGACCAGAGTCATTTAACTAGCAAGTAGCCTACTCAGGATTAAAAGTTAGCTTTCTGTCTTTCCACCAAACGCACAGCCCATAGAAAGAAACCCAAAGGGGTGGGAGGGACCCAGACTGAAGGGGTCCTGCTTTGGAAGTCCACTCCCAGCCTGTGCGGTCTGAGCCCAGCGGCCTCATCTCCGATGGCTCGCCTGTGCGGCCGGCCTCAAAGGGCTGCTGAGGAGACATCCGCCCACAGGAGCAGCGCCCCAGGCCTGGCGCACAGCACACGGCAGTCCCCATGTCCTGACGACCACAAGCCTTATGGTCTGCAGTATTCTGTCATTTTTCTGTCCCCATAAATCAAAGTATTTCAGAAATTTCAACCAACCATCCCACTTGGAGGGATTCATATAATCCTCTCAGGCCACATGACCCAAGTTTGGGTTTGCAGAATAAACACGGCCCTGCAGCCTCAAACAAATAGACAGAGAGGACCAGATCAAGGGCTGGGCTCTGTAACATTCCATGAGAAGCCTGTATCCACACACCCTCCAGAACCTGAGGGCCAAGGGTGCAGCATGACGAGGACAGCCGCCCTCCACCTCGAAGGCCCCAGCACGTGGCCCAGGGGCAGCGAACCAGAGAACCCAGGACAGCCCGGGACAAAGTCAGCCCACCCGTGACACCACGGCAGCCCGCCCTTGATTCAAGTTCTCATCAGTTACCAACATTTACAAATCACACGCACGCACCATCTGGATTTCCAGTTTCTCTTGAAAAATGGAAAGATCTGGCCCCACCGGGCCCACATCCCACAGGCTACAGTTGACTTAAATGAGGAAGAACTTCCCCTCTAGTTGCGGCATATCCACCCCCATTCACCCCAGTCCCCACCACCCGGGTGTCGGGGGCCGTCCCTCAGGACACACCCAGCCCGGTTCACGTGCGTCACCTGCCGCTGGAGTTGGTGACCCCAGCTGCAGGTCAACAGGCATGTCAGGAAGGAGGCGGCCGGGGGCTGCACAGGCGCGGGAGCCACCTGTCCCTGCAGAGGAAGGGGTCCTGCCCTGGGGGCAGGCAGTGAGGGCCAGGGCCCCCAGCGGTGGACAGCCCCTCCACGCCCTCCTGGGCAAGCAGAGACGCCGGCCTCGAGGGCTGGCAGAGGCAGGGAAGAAGGCAGGCCTGGCGAGGGGAAGGCGCCTCAAGGCTGCAGGGCACTGGCGACTGAGGTGGTCTCCATTTATTGTCGGGGAGGAAAACCTTCTCAAATTAATACAGTGCAACCTCTCCCCATAGGTGTGCTGAGGGAAGGGGGCCCTAGAGGCACCCCGGAAATAGCTTACAGCAACAGTGCTTTGACCAAGAGCTGCTGGGCACACTCCGTGGGGGGAAGGTGGTGGCCCCCATCGGCTCCTCCGCTCCCACAGCCATCCCAGAGGCCGAGCGACCATGAGTCCTTCGGCAGCAACAAGTCGGGAGAGAACAGACAACAGACGAGTGTGAGAAGACAGGCTGGCGATGACCACCCGGAGTGGGTCCACTGCGCCCCAGCCCTGGGGTGGCGGGGAGAGCCTAAAGGAGGGGGCGGGCCGCAGTATGGTAAAGGACCAGGGTTAGCACCTACGGCAGCAGCCCCGCCTGCTGCTGATCTGGCCGAGGGGCAGGGCCAGAACCGCAGCTGGGCCCTGTGTCCCCGGGACCCTCCCTGCGGGGGCTCAGCACTTGGCTCCCACCCACCCCGGCACGGTGTCCTGGACAGAGAGACCTCCTACAGAATGAGGGGAGACGAGGGAAGCTCCTAGAACTCTGAGCAACACAGGGAGGGATCTGTCCAGGCCCATTCGTGTCTGAGGACACAGTAACTACCTCGAACTTAATTAAAAGACTTCATAAATAGAGGTCCTGAGTGAGGAGAAAGAGAGTCAGGGCCACCTGCACCGAAAGGAAGACAGAGACTCAGAACCAGGGCCGGGGCGGGAGACCCAGGCCAGAGGTCCACCCCGGGCCCACCTCGTGGGCAGAAAGACCCAGAGACTCTGACAGGTAAGGCTCCCCTCTGCACGTGGCATAGAAGAGAAGAGGGACCAAGAAGCTGCCTGGCACGGCAGGCCAGATGCTGGGTGGGACGAGGGGCGGGTGTGCTCGGCTGCGGCCGCTCCCCGGACCCAGGAGCCGGCTCGCTCCCTGGGTCAGTCACAGCATCTGGGGTCATCACAGCCAGGCTGGGCAGGGCTGAGGCGCAGCTGCCGGTGGCTCAGAGGAGAGGGAAGAAAACTCTTTGGCCCAGACGAGCCACAGGACCCTGAGGAGGGAGAGGCCATCACCCAGAGGCTCCCTCCCCTTAAGTCATCTTTCCCCTCGACTGATCCTGAAGGGAAGCTGGGCGTCCCTGGCAGAGCACAGCCCGGGGGCCGAGCCAGGAGTGGTGGAGTCCCCAGCTGGCAGCCCGCACTGTTAGCTCTTGTCTCCCGGGGACTTGCTCTTGGTATCACGCTTGTTTCCTAGCAGCTTCAGCACCTTCATGGTCTTGAACTTCCCCTTCTTCTTGCCCTCGGGTTCAGCCTCCTTCTGGAACTCTGCAGAAGGGAGAGGGGAGTCGATCGGGGCAGGCCGGGGATGGTGGTGATGGCCTAGGAGCACCGGCCAAGAGGCTCAGCCCACCGCTACCACCTCTCCTGGAACCGTGCGCACGCCCCTTCACCTTTCTGAGCCTCCAGTTCTTTGTCTCTAGGACGAGACCCTACCCCCTCCCAGTGTCTTGGCAGGGATCGGGAGACGAGCGCCCGTGAAAGCAATGGGGGAGCCCTACAGCGTGGCAGACGTTCATCTCTAAAAGGCTTGGTTCCCCTAGGCTGGTGCTCACAGCTCTGTGGGTTACAACACGAACACTGACTGTCAGAGGTAGAAGAGACCTCAGAAATCATCTCGCCCAGCCCCTAACTTATTATGGACGAGGAAAATGTGAGTTTTGAAACAGACTAACACCAACCGAGCTTTTTGCAGGTGCCAGGCCCTGGACTAAGTGCTTTGTACACATTACCTCAGTCATCCTCAGCACATGCCCGGGAGGTGGGTGCCTCCATCACCCCCATTCCACGGACAAGGAGAGCAAGGCCTAGAGGGGTGAAGTGGCTGGCTCAAAGCCACCCAGCTGGGAAGTGCCAGAGCTGGGACTGGAATCCAGTCTAACTGGAGCCCAGACTTAACCGCAAGGCCACAAAATGAGTCACTGGTGGAACCAAGATTAGGCCCAGGGCTCCTGCCTCCCAGTCCAGTGCTCTCTTAACCATTCTAGGCACTATCGTATCTGCGGGAGGGCCTGCTGTTTGGTCCCACAGACCCCTCCTAGACCAGCTGCAGATCTCAAGGAGGAACGCACAGTTTAAGGCAGACGCACCCTGGGAAATGCTCCCACATGCCACCGTCCTCCCTGTGGGCACCAGGGCATCCCACGCCCACTCTCCTGGCCGTAGGGTGACCTGCCTTGCTATCCACGGCCTTCTTGGCAAAACAGGGGCTAGGAGTTTGCACACACCGTCCCTGTAGCGCCCACTCCAACCCTCTGTCCAACCTACCCCCCACCCTCCAGGAGTTCAAGCGGGCCAGAGCCCCAGGAGGGGCCTCACCTTTCTTCCTGATCATGGCTTCCAACATCTTATCTTCCTCTTCCTCCCTGAAATGAGAAAGGGAAGCTGAGTGTCCCACGGGAGGAAGGACGAGGTAATCTCTCAGGCCCCTCCAGACTCCGAGTCCACGCAGGCTGAGCAGGCGGCGCTGGGATGACTGGCAGTGAGGGCCCCGCCCCCAGGAAGCCCCAGGGAACCCCTCCCCCAGCCACATCACCTCTGCCGGTCCTCATCTAGGCAGTTGACGATGGCGTTGCGCTGCTCGATGAGGGTCACAAGCTCCTGCATCAGCACCTTCTCTCGGACCCGGTCCTCTTCTGTCCAGTCCTTTTCTGCCCAAGGAGAAAAGTTGGGGACATGAGTCCCAGGAAGCGAGGAACTAACGCCTAAGTGCTAAGGGTGGCTGCAGACCAGCCCCACGCTGGACACTCTGAGGGAGGGGGCCCAGATGGGTGGGGATTACAAATTTTTGGAGAAATGAAGGTTGTCATAGGAGAGACCAAGGATACCAGTCTGCCTACCAAAAAAACTCTCCAAGGGGGCTCCGGGAGGTCCAGCACAATACGTGTTCTGAGAACAGAGAACAGCACGTGCCAAAGAGTTTCCTGCTATGTTCATGCACTCATTCAACAAATGTTCACTAGATGGTTTCTTGGGGGAAGGGTTCAGGCTGGGTCTGCTGAGAGCCTCCAATGGCGAGCTGGCCAAAGTGGGGCAGCGGGGGGGAGATAACAGGGAACCCCAGGGGTCCTCATGCAGGAGAAGCAATGTGACCCAAGGGGCATATTGGGACATTCATCTAATGCCATGAAGGAGGGTGGACTAGAGGGGTCCCTGGGGGCAGGGAGCCCTGCCAGGAGGTGTCCCTGATGTCTCAGACAGCTGCTGCCCCTCCAGCCTCCTCTCAAGAACCTGAGCCATCCCACAGAACCACCCTCAGAGGCCCACCTGCACCTTGGTATTCCTCTCACCCAGCCCACAGGCTCCCAGGGGAGGGATGCCCACGCTTGACCTTCCCTCCACAACATCTGCCCCTACCACCACCTCTTGCCAAAACTGGAACCGTTGACCCAGCATAGTTCTGGGGACAACGTGGGTTTCAGTGTCGCCACCCCAGTTCACATCCCACTCCGCTGCTTCCCAAATCTGGGGCCTGGGTAAGTTACGTCCCCGACCTGCGTGTGGGAAAACCGAGGCTTGCGGAAGTTAAGTCCTTGACCGGTGTCGCACAGCAAGGGTGGAGCCAGTGCTTGTACCCGGCCAGCCCTTACAGTGCCTTATGGATCTCCAGCCCACCTGGGGCCTTATAAGCCAGTCTCACGCTCCAAAGGCAACAACCAGGACAGGATGACAAGCCCCGATGTGTTGCCACCACACGGAGGACTGGAGAAGCAACAACAAAAAGCCCAGGGCCAGGCTGGCCTGGGGTACAGAGGTGCTGTCCCCATTTCGACCACAAGGTGCCGCTGCGGCTTCCTCTGAGTGGCGGCCACGCCCCAGCCTCCAGAGATTTGGGAGTGATTCATAGGTGGCAGCAAGGAGCTGGGACATTCTGTGACTTCCTCACGGACACTCCTGCCTCTGGGTCACATCCAGCCTCCCAAGTTCCCTGGTCAGTGGAAAAGCAGGGCCACTGTCCCAGCCGGCAGGAGGGGCTGCGTGTGCAGGGACATGCCCAAGTCAGAGACAGTGGCTAGAAGCCCAGCTCCACCACCAATGTGCAAGACTCTCAGCCTCTCTGGCTCTTCATTTCCTCATCTGTTAAATGGGAACAACGATTCCTACCACCTGGGCCAGAGGAAGTGGTCAAAAGCCCTGGCTCCAGCCTCTGGACACTCCACAGTCCTGTGCTCTCTCTCAGCCCACAGCTGTGCTCACCCCATGTCACGGCCAGACCCCAACTCAGCCCCATGATAACCATCAGCCATCAGCCCCTCATAGGGCACAGAGTGTTTCCACATGCACCGGCTCCTGGGCCTTAGAATACCCTCCCAGGCGGGCACCTTCATCCCTGTCTTACACATGAAGCCACTGAGGCTCGGTGGGGCTAAGGAAGCTGCCTAAGGGCCCCCAGCAAGTTAGCAGCAGAACGCAGGGCTGTGTGACGACACACCCAATCCTCCCATGGCCCCGCTCCATTCCCAGCACATCCCGTCCCTCCCTCCCAGAGTCACCCTGAGCCACGCTGTGCAGGGGCGCTTCCACTGGCCCTCCCCCCACCAGCAGAGCCCTGCCATGCTCTGGCCTAACGGCCATGAGCCCAGAGCTGCCTCTGGACAGGTACCGTACCTGCTCTCCCTTGCTCAGCAAGGCAGCCCTGGGCCCTGGATGGAGCCTGACCCCTCCCCACCAGGAGCCCACCCACACATTCCAGGAGAGGAGGGTACCAAAACAAGCCAGTCGAGACTTCCCTGGTGGCACAGTGGTTAAGAATCCGCCTGCCAATGCAGGGGACAAGGGTTGGATCCCTGGTCCGGGAAGATCCCACATGATTCGGAGCAACTAAGCCCATCCGTGCACCACAACTACTGAGCCCGAGTGCTGCAACTACTGAAGCCTGCGTGCCTAGAGCCCTTGCTCCATAACAAGAGAAGCCACCACAATGAGAAGCCCGTGCACCGCAACGAAGAGTAGCCCCCGCTTGCCACAACTAGAGAAAGTCCACACGCAGCAACGAAGACCCAATGCAGCCAAAAATAAATAAAATTCAAAAATATAAAAAAAATTAAAAAATAATACTTTATTAAAAAAAAAAAAGGGGGCTTCCCTGGTGGCGCAGTGGTTGAGAGTCTGCCTGCTAATGCAGGGGACATAGGTTCGAGCCCTGGTCTGGGAGGATCCCACATGCCGCGGAGCAACTGGGCCCGTGAGCCACAACTACTGAGCCTGCGCGTCTGGAGCCTGTGCTCTGCAACAAGAGAGGCCGTGATAGTGAGAGGCCCGCGCACCGTGATGAAGAGTGGCCCCCGCTTGCCACAACTAGAGAAAGTCCTCGCACGGAAACGAAGACGCAACACAGCAAAAATTAATTAATTAATTAATAAACTCCCACCCCCAACATCTAAAAAACCACAAGCCAGTCTGCTCCTGGTCTCGGTGCTCTCTGCAGGCCTGCCATCCCGACACCACAGACGTCACAGCCCCACGCTGGCCGTGCCGTTCCCTCTCCCGTCTTGGCTTGAGCTTATTTTTCACCTGTTATGACCCAGACAGCACCCCCTGCCCTGTTCCCAGACTCTGCCCGTGCATTCCCATCAGGGCCACTCCCCGGCCCACTCCTCCATGTCACCAGGCCCCAGGGCAGGCGTCTGGGGAGTGGGTGTGGCCACACTCACCTGGCTTGTTGAGAAGGCACCTGAGCTCATACTCCACGTCGGCCTGGCGTTGCTCCAGGTTCTGCTGCTTGAAGCTGGAAGGTGGGAATAAGGTGACTGTTAGTTCTGCGGCTGCCTGCCCTGTGCTGTCACTGATAAGGGAAGAAGGTGAAGATTCCCAGTCCTAAGCTCTCTGGATCCTGGGGGGAGGAGCCAGGAGCCAAGGGGAGCAAGGACTCACACATAGATGAGCTCGGACTCCCGCCGAACCAGCAGATGCTTCTCGTGGATGAGCTTGAACCAGTCCACCAGCATGTCATCCTCACGGCGCTCTGGAAACCAGATGCCCACTGAGGCCAGGGCTGGAGGCAGTCCCCACCCTCAAAGGGGCCATGGCGGCTCCTACCCTGGAAGAGAGGTTCCCCCTACCCGAGTCCCACCCGCCAGGCCCCCGGCAGCTCCCGCACCGTCCGCTCCACCACGCAGCTTCTCCTCCAGCAGGACCCCACGGTGTTCCAGGGTATCCAGCTGACGCTCGATGGTGTCCATCTCCCCATGGATGTCCTCCTCGGGGATGTACTGGTCAGCCTGAACCTGCCCGACAGCGCCCAGTTATCTGAAGGTCAGCCCGCCCTCCCACCTGTTGGCCGCCAGGAACAGGAACTTCCCTCTTCTCTCCGGCCAGCACTGGCCTCCACAGGCCCTGCGCCCTGGCTCCGTCCCACACCCCAGCGTGGCGAGGGACGGATGTAGGGACAGCCACGCCCCTGCCGTGCCCCTGGTCCCAGCTCCGACAGGCATGCCCAGAGGGCGATACAACTTCCTGCTTCTCTCTGGCAACTTCCTCCCCTCCTCTGCCACTCCAGAAAATATATCACAATGTGCGAAAGTGACCCTATTAGACAGAGAAACCTGAGAACACTCTAAGCTGTTTGTCACGTGAATGCTTCAGATCCTTGAACTATTATTAGTAACAATTTAAATGCATCACCCAATGCTTTTGGTCAGAGCAGCTAATCTGCTCAAAATCCCCCTGGCTGCAAGTTAATAAATCTCCCAGCTGGGCCTCCCAAGCATGCCCCCTCCAGCATCTGAGGGAAGCTGCCCAGGCAGCCCATCCTGTGGCAGAGTCCCACGGGAAGCCTGAGGCGGCCAAGGGAGGGGGCCCGGGCCCAGGCAGCCAGTTGTCTGGGGCTCCCAGCTGTACCTTGCGTTTGATGAGCGGAAAGCCGTGTCCTGGGGCAGGCGGTCTCGCGGGCTTGAAGCCCTTGGTGGCCTTCTTTACGGTTGGGGACGCTGTGGGTGATGCCTTCCGGTTAAAAGGATTCTCCTTGCAGGAAGACTAAAGGCAGGGAGACGTGGCAGAAGGTAAGTCAGGGAGGGGTCAGTAAGACCCAGGCAGCTTGATCACATGGGACCATGGAAAGCAGCGGGCGGTAGGAATCAGGCAGAGACAGAATCCCCCAGCAGCCAGTCTCTGAGGAACTCAGTCATTCAACAAACACTTCCACTTCCCAGCGCCTCCCGTTGCCGCACTGGATACTTCTCTACATTCCTGTTCAATTCTCACAACCACTCCACAAGGTGGGTAGTGTCGTGCCCACTTTACAGCTGAGTAAACTCAAGTTCAGAGAGGTTAAGTAACTGGCTCAAGGTCACGCTCTTCCCAAGGGCCCAAGCTGCAGTGAGACTCTATTTCAGGCTGGGGCAGCCCTCCGGCGCTGGGGGCAGTGGTCAGGACATGCAGTGTAGGGTGGGACAGAGCTATAGCAGCTCATCCAGGCCTCACAACCACCCCTTTTCCAGCGGGGATTCCGGGGTTCAGCTCCTTGCCCAGGGTCCCCCAGCCAGGAAGAGCAAAAACAGGGAACCCGCTATCAGTAGAGGGAGGAGGAAGGTAGCTCCCTTCCTGCCCAGGGAAGAGCCCCATCCTCTTGCATTTTTCTGTCCTTCTGGGGTAATCCCTGTCCTGAGGCCAGCACAGCCGGGCAGGCCCCCCACTGGGACAGGCCTTGCCTGCCACGCGGGCAGTGCCAGCATCTTCCAACCACCCTCCCCAGGCATCACTTGAGGCCATGGAGTGTTCCCAGGAGTATTTACCGGGCTTTCCAACAGCCGGGGGGAGGGAGGAGCCCCACTCACCTCACCTGTGCCAGCCTGGGGGAGATTCCTTCAGGCTGGCAGCTGCTCTGGGATCTGAAGCAAGGGAAGTGCCAGGCCACAGGGCAGCACCCGCCCAAGGGGCCTGCCTGTCTCCTGGCCCCAGTGTCTCGGGTTCTCTCCGAATCCTGGGGTTAGGGTAAGGGATGGGGCACCCCAGGAGGAAGTCCTCTTGGGCTCTGCCCACACCCTCCACAGTCACACCCAGAGGGGCCCAGCAGGGCCAAACAGCCCAAAGGCCCCTGAGTCCCTCAAGGGTTCTCAGCCACAGAACTCCTTCAGACCAACCTTTCACAGACCTCGGGACAGGAAACATACTGAAAGGCAGCTGCCTGTAGGGGGAAAGGGAGGGGCGTCCAAAATCAACTCCCTCCCCCACCTCCCACAGCAAGGAGCCCTGGGGCTCCTCAGAACATCCTGAGGCCCAGAGATGGGATGGGCCTTCTCCAGGTCACACAGCAGGCGGTGATAGAGCTGGACAGGAGGCAGCTGCCCAGGCCAGGGAAGGTTAAGTGGCATTTGAAAGGTGCACAGGCCAACAGCTCAGGCTCCTCCCCAGACTTATCCTCTGTCAGGTCGGTCAGACCAGGACTACAGCCGGGCCCTCAGAGGGCTGCAGGGTACGGGAAAAAAGGCAGAATCAGAACCTGGTGGTGCAAAGGGACTCTGGTGGCAGGAGAGGCCCCCTCATGAACTAGGTGCCCAGAGGAATGTCCTGACCCCTGGTTACCCCTGGTTCTTGGCGTGACACTGAGAAACAAGTGCTTCACCAGCCACAGAGGTCAAGTGGAAAACGAGCTCCCAGGGATGGGTGTCCAGCAGACCCTCCTCGTGCCCACTGCAGCCCCCAGAGGGGATGGAGCGCGGGGCCAGCCTGGGAAGGGGCCTGGTAAGGGGAGCCCACAGCACGGGCTGTCCGCACCCCTGCAGTGGCACACAAGAGAAGCACCCAGTAAAGCTGTTTCCTCGGCCCTCTGCCTGTTGAGGGCCGACCCCTCCTCTACCCGTCCCCGCCAAAAACAAACTCTACACAAGGCACAGTCATCCCAGTACCCTACCCCGACCTGTCTGTGAGCACCTGGGGGGCAGGGATCGCCACGGTCATCTCACCTCTGGAGCCCAGGCCAGCCCATACACACAGGAGGGACTCAATGAACACCATCTGCCCCATTCTATAGGAGGGAAGACTGAGGTCTCTGGAGAAGGAAAATGACCCCAAGAAGGGAGTCATCCCCTCCCCTCTGTGCTCTACCCCCGGCGGCCTTGTAGAACAATCATCTAGGCCTGTCTCCCTGAGCAGCTTGTGAGCCCCTACAGGGCAAGGACAAGGTCTCAATGCCACTGTGCCAGGGTCTGGCACAAATAGGACCTCAGTGAATGGAAGGGTGAACGGAAGGATGTGTGGGTTAAGTGGTGGCTAGTGGATGCGTCCCAAATGGGCACGTGCAGGTGCTAGGCAGGTAAATAAGGGCTAGATGCCTCAAGACATGGAAGACCAGGCAAGTGGAGACATGAACAGATGGACGGGAGGTCTGGCTAATGGATGAAAGGATGGAGAGGTGGAGCCGTGCCTCAATGAACGCAGTGGTGAATGGGTAGATGGGCACAGCCAAGGTCACCCAACAAGTCAGGGCCAGCAACGATGGAAGGATCAGAGACCCCGCCCTGAGACCAGGCCCATGGCCACTAGACAGGACAGCAGCCTTTAGCGAGGGTGAGGCACTCACCTTTACCTGGAGCTGTGGGGACGAGGTTCCAGGGGAAGGCGCAGGGCTCTTGTCTCCAACCAGCATGAGAGGGGTGGGAGCAGCGCCACTGCAGGGCTTGGCTGGAGGGGGACCTGGGCTGCCCCTAGTATTGGCGGCAAGGCCAGGGCTGGCTTGAGGTGTCCGGTCCACACTGGGCTGCACCAGCTCCCCAGAGGAGGACAGGGAGGAGTTGGCAGAGAGGCTGGCCGAGGTCCCAGGGCTGCCCGGCGCATGGACAGCAGGCTCTGAGGAGCTCTTGGGCACAACTGGTGGCTCCAGAAGCTCCCCACTTGGGGGCTGGCTGGAGCTCTCAGATGACAGGCTTTCCACGCTGAGGGCTGGCGACGGGGTGGCTGAGGGTGGCTCCGAGTGTGACAGGCGGGAGGTGTGGAGAGCTGTACAAACACACACACAAGTGGGTGCCACGTGAGGGGGCACAGTCAGGCTTTCCGGCCTCACCTAACACGCTCCACTCTCGACAGAGCTGCAGGCCCTGGCAACCCAAGTCCTCCACATCCAGACAGGCAAGAGCCCAGAGGACAGCAAAGGTGTGACTGGACCAAGGTCACTGGCAGACAAATCATCCCAAGTCACCCTGCGCTCCTCGGGCCCTGGCATGTGCCTCGTGGCACATCGCGGCCCTGGTTTCCTTACGGCCCTCGCTTCCCCATCCAGCGTGGCTGCAGCCTCCACTTCCCCTCCCACGTCTGATGTGACCCAAAGCAAAGCCAAACTGAAAAGGCCAAAAAAAAGCCTTGCTTCTGTCTGCCTTCTCTGCCTCTGACCCGAGCAGAGGTGGGAGGGAGAAGCAGGCAGCCCTGGCGGTGGCTGGCGCCAGGCCAGGCACTGCCCCATGCCAGTTTCATCCTCATGCGTTGAGGGACACCATGCTTCAGAGTATCTTCTGCGCTTTCCCAGGAGGCAACAGACTCAGAGAGGAGAAGGGCTGGGATTGGACCAAGCTGTATCCGACTCAGAGCTCATCCCATTGGCTGCATCTCCCACCCGGCATCACCTCCAATCAACTGACCCACCACGCTCAGCTGGAGGGTCCCAGGGCACCAGCAGGGGCCGGAGAGGGGGGCCTGGGCCACCTGAACACCGGCCTCCGGTCATCTCTAATGTACCCTCGGACCCACTGTCTGAGGGGCTCCCACTGAGGTCTCAGAGGCAGCTGGACCCCAGCCGTGGTGGAAGGTGGCCAGGCACAGGGCCCGAGAAGATTGCAAGACGGCGAGAGGGAGGGCTGGGCGGAGGGAGGCACAGCGCCTGGGAGCTGGCCCACCACCTCTATATCCCGGATGGGGAGACAGAGGACAGACACAGGGGAGGAACTGCTCAGAGCCACTAGCACCCGTGCCACGCAGCCAGGTCAGAGCCCGAGGCGCCTGGCAACTGGAGGAGAGTGACTAGATGGGCAGGGCTGGAGCTGCCCAGCGCTTTCCACGAACCTAACTCGGTGTTACGTACATCGATGGATAACACGTTTAATTCTCACAACAGCCCTGTGAGGTGGGTTACAAAGGGTTAAGAGTATAGTCAGGCGTCTGGGTTCAAATCCTGCCTCCACTGCTTAAGTGCTGTGAGGCTTTGGGCAAATCACTTACCCTCTCTGTGCCTCAGTTTCCTCACCTACAAAATGGGGTATGATATCTACCTCACAGGTTTGCTCAAGGATTGAGGACAGACATGACACACACGGCACCTGGCCTGGAGGGGATCCTGTGGCACCACGTGCCCTTCCCTGGCCTTGGGCTGACCCAGGTGCCCAACCCCAGAGTCCCAACTGTCAGGAGAGCTCCCGAGAACGGCACTCACCAAGGGGGGATGCACTGGGTGCTCGGGGGGCGGGGCGCTTCTTTGTCCTGGGGCTGCTCGTGGGGGTGATGCCGTACCAGGGGTGCAGGGACTTGAGTGTGGACTCCGGGTGAGTCGGGGCAGGGCCGGTGGCTGCACGGGGTGCAGCTGGGGGCTCTTCCTGCTCCTCCTCGAAGGGGTTGTAGGGCTTGGGCTCCGGGCCAGCCACCTCATGCACACCTCCGTTCTCCACCTGCCTGCTGTCCCGGCCCGGGGGCGGCGGCCCGGGGCTGCTGCTCGGGGGCAGGGGGGCTGGCTTCTTCTTCGGCTCTGCCTGCACCAGTGTGATCCATGGGGGGTCTTTCCTGGGGGCTGGTGTCCTGGACAGAGGCAGGAAGAAGCAGAAACCGTTAGGAGGCAAGGGGGGCATGTCCTTCTCTCCCCAGACAGTCTTGAGTGCAGCCCAAAGGGGGTGGATGAGAAACTGCACCCTTCTCCTCTCCCACCCCAGCCCAGTGGGGCCAGTCTGGGCCCAGAGCTGAAACAGAAAGAAGGGGGCCTCTCCCTTCCCCTTCCTCTGTCTCTGGCTCTCTCTCCCCGGCCCTCTCTCTCATGGACCATACAGGGGAAACACAGCTCCCAAAGAACAGCTGGCAACCGATGTCCTCGCCTGTGGCGCAGGGTCCCAGGGCTGGAGGATCTGAGCCAGGTGTACAGCTGAGCTCTGCTGTGTCTTCTATACTCTGCTGCTGACTCGCACGACTCCAGGAGCGAGGCCTAGGCCTCCCTCGTTCCACAGGCAGGAGAGGGGGTCCCAGGGGAGCCACAGGGAAGGGGGTGTGGGCACAGGCTCCTGCCCCCAGAGATGAGCCCCACCCCTTCTCGGGAGGGTGTGCTGGTGGGTCACACGGCCTTGTTACCCGCCCAGACCCCAGGGTACTCCCCTTCCCCCTACCAGGGCCCTGAAACCCCTCAGGGCCAGCATACCTCTCTGACAGCTTGGGTGTCCCTCTGGGCTTGGGGATGGGGGGTTCATGCAGCTTCCCTAGATGGGAAACGAGAATGAAACAGGTCTTCATGGCAGCCCAACAGCACAGTGGGGCACCAAGGGAGCCAGCCCAAGTGCCTGCCTTACCAAGGATGCCCTTCCGTCCCACCTAGCAGGTCATGGACTCCAGGTGGCCATGGCAACCTCACCTGCACCCTCCTACCTCCCCAGCCCAGCACTCAGGGAGATTAGATAAACACCAAAGGTGACAGGTAGAGAAGGTCAAAGGGGCAAGGCCAGGACACCTAGAGACCCCATTCGTATTTCAGTTAAGAAGGGGGAACCCTGGACTTCCCTGGTGGCGCAGTGGTCAAGAATCCACCTGCCAGTGCAGGGGACACGGGTTCAAGCCCTGGTCTGGGAAGATCCCACATGCCGCGGACCAACTAAGCCCGTACGCCACAACTACTGAGCCTGCGCTCTAGAGCCCGCGAGCCACAACTACAGAAGCCTGCGCGCCTACAGCCCGTGCTCCGCAACAAGAGAAGCCACCGCAATGAGAAGCCCGCGCACCACAACAAAGAGTAGCCCCCACTTGCCGCAACCAGAGAAAGCCCATGCGCGTCAACCAAAAATAAATAAATTTATTAAAAAAAAAAAGAAGGGGGAACCCAAGTGCCCCTCTGACACTTCCCCAAAGTGGACAGAAAATATTGTTTCAACTCAGCCCCAGGGTCACCTCCTCCTGCAAGCCTCCCCTGACTCCCAAGTGTCCTCCGTGAATCCCACCATAGCCTCTGCTCCCCCATCTTAACAGACATCTACATTCTACCAAAATCCTCATGGCTGTGTCCATCTCTCCCTCGAGACTGGCAGCACCTCAAAGGCACAAACAGGTCTGAACAGTATCTCTATCCCCAGCGCCCACCTCAGGAACGGGCCTCCACGAGTGCGGAACAGAACGAACAAGTCCCAGGGGGAGACCCTGGGAGTCTCCCTCCCCTGGGCCTCCTCTGATAAGAGTTGCCCAGCACGTCTCAGGTTACAAGGAACCATGTTTCCATGAGTTCATGGAAGCCCAGGGAGGTCATGTGGGAAGGTCTGACAATGAGGGGTGAGGCAGGGGTCTCCACTACAGAACAGGCCAGCCTGGGGAGTGCCCCAGGGGCCCATCTGACCAGGGACACACCCTCCCCTACCCCCAGCCCCTGAGCTGTCCCCTGCCAGACATCCAGATGTGGACAAGCACACAGGCTGGGCCTGGGAGGGGAGGTCACCTGAGTGTGGACACAGAACCAGACACACTCGGGACACAGGCACACATGATGTACACTCCCTACACCCTGAAACTGAAGCACACAAGATGGACACAAAAGGACACA